TCACCTTTAAGATCAAATTTCGACCTGCTTCAGTGCTATATCCTGCCGTGGTCGCCACAAAGTACTTTTTAATGGAAGGGCAGACAGCTTGTCCCTGGAGTTCCCTCGTCTTATAAACCGGCCTATTGCTCTGTATTTCCTTCGTTCTCTGTTTTGCTGGTCTCTGATATCGGGTGCCTTTATTTGATGATTATATTTTGCATAGAATCTGTGAAGTGGTTTACGCAAAGCAGACGTCGTTAGACCAGCACCGATGTTACCAAATTGCAATTCTGTCTTCTCTGCCGGTGACATCCTGCGCCTTCGTAAATTCTTTTTCTCGTGATTTTTGCACTTGCTTCTGATAAGTTTGACCTCGTTCTCTGGTGCTGTAATGACTATTGTTCATGGGTTTTTCCGTTTGGGTTTGGTGAACTTTCAGTCCTTGCTTCGAGGCGTTGTGGCTGATGGCTGGCCTAACATCCGGCATCGCATGACATCTTCGAAACTAGCATATCTCGCTGGTCTCGAATCCTGTCGAGCACGTAGAACAGCAGTTGACACAATGCTAGCGAGTGTGCATTCACGACGCTTTGGCTGGGGCCGGTTACGCTGTGCGGTTCTCAAGTGTCAGCGCAATGTGGACATTGCAAGTAAAATAAGCCAAAGGAGGATGCTGAAATAGTTAGTGAGAAAGTGGCCGAAGCAAAAACGAAAACGGGTACTAGAAGTTTTACTTTAGAGATAGGGATAGTTTTAGGGTGTGGGCGAGTGCCAGACTTAAAAATGAGGTTAGAGTTATGGCTTGTGGTAAGTTTAGGGGTTCCTGTTAGAGTGGGGGTTTGAATTACGCTTTAGTCCTACGTTTAGTGCCAAGGTTGTGGTTAGGGTCACGGTTATGGCCAGCGTTAGAGTTTCGGTTACGGTTAAGATAAGGGTTGAGGTTAGGGTTAGGATGTGGGTTAGGCTTAAAGTTAGGCTTAGGACCAGGGCTTGTGGTGGATTTGAGGTAAAGTTTATTGTTAAGTTTAGGGTTAGCGTTAGGTTTATGATTACTTTGAGGAAAAGGATTACTCAGCTACTTTCCCCACTAATGATTTCAACATCCCCCTTCGGCTTAATTTACTTTTAATGCCCACATTGCGCTTACACTTGGAACGCTGACAGCGCAATGGGCGCCTGCCGACGCTTTATTTCGACTGAGAAGGACACGAAATGTTTGGGTTCTGAGCAGGCTTTCAACATAATGCGCTTGTTTTTGTGACGACTGTCCACTAGTGGAGGGGCGCTGACCGATCGCTTTTCCAGTGCTCTCTCGTCCCGTTGTGCCTAACGGGCTCTCTCTCGAGCCCAAGCAGCAGCCGCATCGCGGAGCGTGATATATGTTCAATATATGGCGACCAAACAGTCCTCCCCGGATATCAAGATATATACGCATTGTTCCGTGAACTGGCCGAAAAAAATCAGTTGGTCCACGTTCATTGCAGATAGAGGGGACGTGCAGTTCTTTGCGCAACTGTTCCTTCGCACCATAGGGAGGGCGTAGGCATTAAAGACAATGGCAGGTTACTCGTCGCGATGTGCCAGATTCATTGCCATGGGACAGTTCTGAAGTCTTGTGAGAAGTAAATCAACCTGCTGGCGATGTCGTTTCAGATGACGAAGTCGACTTCAGTCCCTTCTCTCCTTTCCTTCTACGGTCACCTCAGAAAAAAAGTATAACTCGCTCCTATTTACTCCAGCTGCCATTACAACATGAACCGTGACTTGCTGAAGACGACGGTGTCCCGTATTGATCCTGTTCGCGAGCAATCCGAGCCTACCTCCTCGTTACACGGCTATCTGATTTTGGTTATTCAAATAACAGCGATTCCAGGCTGCCAGCTTGACCAAATTCAACCCGGAGACTAGATTGAGGGAAAAGTATCTCTATTTGTGTTGTTTTGGTCGCTTAAGCAGCCACGGTCACATTTCCAGACTGTGTAAAAAACGTAATAATGATTACTTAAGCAATATGCATTTTATCACACTTATTTTCCATGGCATTAAATTGTGGCGGCCTAGGACGTTGAGATTGGCACACACGCGGATATTGGGTAACTGCTGATCGTAATAACACTGAACAGGTTTGGAAAGCAACAGGTCAAACCTACACCCCGAGATAATAAGACGAAGGAGTATCGGCATAAGAAAGTCATTCTAATGTATGAATTGTGTAAACGGGTTACAAAGATACAGGTGAAACAATAAAGGTGAGTGTTTAGTTGTGCCCGCTAGGCCACCGGTGGGGAGTGCAGCGCTGGGGGTTACTGATACCATAGTGAGAGATAATATAAAACGAACCGATCCGACGATAGCTGTAACGACGAGGATCAGTGACTGAGAATGAATGGGGACACCGGCGTCTTCACTGACACTCCACCACACCATCTCCATTCTAAGCCCACGCCTCTCTGTCCTTCAACTCACCCAAACAATATATCCAAATGTATTCTATAGAACACATGAACGAAAATATGCTTCCTTTTGCTCATTTGGCAACGCATCACGCCGTCTTCACATTTTATGCTCGAAGAACGAGTTTATAAAACTTTAAAATTATAAGACCTTTTAAAACGGTGCAATGTCCATTCACACAGCATCGAACCCCTACGTTCATTATAAAGTATGCGACCTAGTCTACATCTATAATAACATTTTGCGAACTGGACATATAATCATCCTAAAGACTAGAAGTATATGTAACTTGTAGACAGATTGCTAAAGCAGCGGCTGACTTGGCATAAAATTTTTCGGGAATTATAGGGCTTATCGCAAACGAAATGTACCATTTACTCGACGGAATTTGAACATATACGGAGTTGTAAAAAGCGAACGAACATTCTGGCGAATCCAAATGGAGTAGTATTTGAATAGTATTTCAACATCTGGCATTAACCCTTCCTAATCGAAAAAGCATAGCCAAACTGAGACTAACATTGCCTGAGATAAGTCATAGAATGTTAATTCACAGACGCGATTTATGATCAACTAACCGGATACTCTGTAATCGGCAGAGATTGCGACACCTGTTGCATGCACGCTCCCATTAACACGACGATGACGTCCCGTAATTTCATCGTAGTACATTTAGGAAAATGTGCCATGTGAACAAGAACAACATACTCACAGACTACATCAACAGTTAGGCGGATGTTAACTATTGTTATCTAATTATTTGTAAGCTTGCCAATTACCGGCGCAGCATCCACTCGCCAACCCTTCCCACCACCAGTGTCAAGTGTTAGCAAAAAAACAGAAGCCTCTGATTCTCACATATTTATTCCTTCTTCAGCCACCTTTTGCAATACTTTTGAGCTCTCTTCACCTTCCAGTAATGGGGTCTGTGCCGTGGAATACAACAATTGTCCTTATCCAGCATACATTTGACGCAGCCCCTCATGTTGTCCTTGGCGCACTTACGGCAGTTTTTGGGGTCATATTCGTGACACTTCTTTCCGCCATGATGCAACTCCGCCTCCGCCTCCGCCTTTTTAGGCTTCTCCGTCGAGCTCACCTGAGCACTCACAAGAGCGATCATCGCCAGCACCAGCAGGAGAGGAAGAAGAGATCTGGGGGAAGACATACAGTGGTTAAGTAAGTGTCATAATAGGTTAACATCGCCATATCAAGAATGCAGGTACTCACCTCATTACTAGTAAGACAATTTGGCCATGACAGGCTTATTTTACGTGACTGCCTTTATACTTACGACTATGGTCCATATCGCCAATGAGTTTGGCCTGTGAGGTGTGCGCTCCAATCACATTATCGATTCTGTGGCTCATGAGTCCACTGAATTCCACCGTCAGCCAATCAGTGGAAGCCTTGAAATCGAGGCTAATACGAAGATAGGAATGTGTTTTGACGTGCGATGTGGCAGCACTGGCACTGAAGAATCCGAGATTTTCCCGCACTCGTTCATTGGAATTTGCTTTACTTTTCTCGCCGCAAACATTTTGACCGAGAGTGCTGTATACAAGCTGACGCGAGCCTACAATGTGACTTGTTACATTTTCCTCTCCATTCACCCCTCCTTCAAGAATCATGTAAAGAAGATTTCGTCAAATACCTCCATACGAACTGCAGGTGTTCTCTTTGAAGTCACAATAACTGTTTGATTCTGTTCATATGAGTAAAATCAGCAGAACAGGGCCCAGTTTAAACACGCCATATCTCATTAATATCAGGGAGTTCCAGAGAGGTGTCCAGGGAACGACCAAGTGCTTTGTGGTCCAGCGATGCGCTGAGAGTTCCATTTCTAAATTGCACCCAAAGTATCCTAACTTATACCTATAAGGTCAGCTTGCACATTCGCGATCGACGATATTGCAGTTAATTCGAGAATACTTGCTTTAGCAAACACAATTGCAAGGATTGCCAAATAAGACATTTTTGCGTTGACGCGCTACTGCTGCCTTGAGACGAGGGTGATTCTTTCTAGTTTGCCGCACTCAAATTGCGCGGTCTGGGAAAATGTCAAATTAGCAAGAGTTTTTTTAAATCTGTCCCATAGGGTCAACGCCCACGGACAAATGAATGAGTGTAAACTCGCAAGTATTTAGAACTCGAAGTCGTATGAATATTGCGTGGGAACTGTTGTCTGCTAAACATGTCCGAATAGTGTAACGCATGCAATAGCTTATTACCATATTCTGCGTCTGAGATGTGGCATTTCGACACAACACGCCTAATGAATAAATGGAATACACAATGCCTGAGATAACAAAAATTGCCATCTGGTGTTCATCGATTTTCGGCAGGTTTAGTCTCTTACTCTACCTCGACAACAAAACGTCAATTTCAACAGAAACGAAGAGATGAGTCCCACAGAGCAGTCTTGAAGAAGGATACACGATCGCTGAAACAAGAGATTTATTAGCCTGACGTTTCGGATTCCTGGCCGAACCCATCATCAGGCTTTGGCCCGAATCTATGGCCTCCCTAAGGTGCACAAAGGCGGCGCTCCTCTTTGATCCATCATGTCACTCAAAAGTACTCCAAAGTACGGACTGGCTCAGTGGCTGTTCCGGCATCCCAAGTTCCTGACCGCTGAGTCAGGCACCATGTTCTCTTTGTCAGCACGTGTCCTGGATAAACTCAAAGAGGTAAGCCTCCATCCGAATGAGGTCATGGTATCTTTCGATGTTACATCCCTTCTTGCTATTATTCCCCAGGATCTGTCAATCGAGACGATCGAGCTGCTTCTACAAAGCAAATACTATGAATCGGAGAATCGTCTTGGGCACACCCAAGTACTTCTGCTCCTGAAGTCCTGTCTCAGGACGCACTTCACGTTTGACGGGACAATATACGAACAGGTGAACGGCACGCCAATGGGTTCGCCGATTTCGGGATTCATCGCCGAGGCGTCCTGCAACGGCTAGATTTGCTGGTCTTCCAGCACCACAGACCGAAGCTCTGGGCCCGGTATATGTATGATAACCTCGTCTTTATCGATCGGGATAAACTGCTGACATTCAAGGAACATCTGACTGCGATCTTCCTGGACTTACAATTTAGGACGGAGGAGGAAGAGAACAATCAGCTGACTTTCCTGCATGTCCTTGTATGCCGCAAAGTTTGTGGTGGCCTAAAGACCACAGTGTTCAGTAAAACGATAAATACGATGCAAGTACTGAACTTCAACAACAACCTACCAATCAGCCACAAAGGCAGTTGTGTAAGGACGCTCTATGGGCGAGTTGAAACAAACTGCTGTGAGCCGGAAGACAAGATTGCCGAACTACAATACCTCCGACGGGTCTTCAAAGCCAATGGCTACCCGCGCAACTTCGTCAACCGGTGCATACGCAAAAGGGACAAAAGGCCTAACCGCACGGCCACCAAATTTTGGCGAGCGCTTCCGTATGTAAAGAACGTTTCGGAAGCTGTCGGCCGCCTTCTCGCACCACTTGGGTTTGGAGTTGCACACAGACCGGAGGCAACCATCAGTTGTCAGTTTATGAAACCGAAAGACCCTCTGCCGCGGCAAGAAACGTCTGGGGTCGTTTTTCAGATCTGGGGCAGTTGCGGACAAAGCAACTACGTCGGAGAAACCGAAAGACAACTCCAAACGCGAACAGCCGAGCATGCTGCAGCGGTGCGGAGAAATGACGCCAGCCCTCAAGTTGTGGCCCATTCGAGGAGATCCGTCCACACATTCAAATTCGACGAGGCCGAAATTCTCGCAAGAGGTGGCAACCGCGTAAGCCGGGAGCTGCTGAGTCATGGTTTATTGGTGCCCAGTCCATTAACAAGTGCAATGACCTCCCTGTTCCATACTCAGTGCTGAGACCGCGCCTAGGCGTAGAAATGAGCCACGCGGGAAGCGCACAGATGAACACTTTTTCCAACGCCAGAGTCGGTTGATCAGATGGCCGAGTAACCATCTCACCAACATTCAACGCACGTGATAAAATTGCAACAATTTATGACGCGAATGTCGGCTACCATATTGTCAACACACAAAGCGCAACGATCCCTGATGAAGGTTGGAGCCGTGAGTATTCATAGTTATGCGGTAGCATGACGATTGCATCCTATAAATACTGTGGCCCCTTGTGCACGAACCACCCTTATCTGTTCTTGTCTCTGAGGAGGGGCTCAAGAAGAAATCTGAAACGTCAGACTAATAATGCTCTTGTCCCAGCGATCGTGTCTTCTTCTTCTTCTTCTTCTTCTTCTTCTTCTTCAAAACCTTCATTTTACAATCAAGCAAATTTGGTGAAGGAAGTACACGTGATTTGGCTAGTCTGTGAATAATTTTCAAGCTGTTTACTCACAAAGTTTCCGAGCCTTGACAATGGTGAGATAATTACTTCTGACTGCTACCATTACCGGTTGGCGTTAGACCTTTGATTATCAGGCTGCTAATTGCGACCGCGTAGTTTGGTCTGGCCCAGCAATCAGCTTGGCAGGCAGCTACGCGTCAACGGGGTTCGTCCCCCGGTCATCGCGCGGTCATCACTGAAATCTAGGCCTTTAACTATTGCAGGTACGCTCACCAATTACCCAGGACCTGGACCTGGCCTTTAGCTATGGCGTCAGGGCAATTAGCTAATTGCTCATGGTATTCTGGTCCTCAGGATGGTGGAGAACCCAGAAATGTGGGATAACAATTTAGCATTCCACTGACTGTGATGGGGTCTGCTGGAGATAGAACGCTGACTCGAGGTCAGAACCGGTGACTTGACTTCCAGTAACTTTGCCCTTAAACCTGCTGGCTTGACAACCAGACTTTAAGCCAGTGCTTCTTGATTAGACGAACATACTCTCATGGGCCTCGCATAGAACTGCGCCATTGGAGTTTAAATCAGAATATCCTGTCGGCTAGTAAGTCGAGTTATTAAGACTGAAACGAAGAGTTGACTTTGATTAAGAAGAAGCAGTCAGATGACATCCGCAAATGAGAGTTCACTTCGGATCTAGCACATGGAGTAATTATTTCTATTGCTCCTCCTTTAGAGAATGGATATTTCCGTGCACAGCTTTCATAGAACGGCGCATTTCGCCTGATGCGACTGTGGGCAGTGAATGTGACCCTCCGTTTCACTATGACCTCTGCCGTCCCGCCCTCACTACACGATATAACGCAGGCAGCGTTCAGTTATCTACGGTCTCTGATAGTAGGCATTCGAAATCCTTATTCTGAATCTGAGACACAAAATCAACCTCTTCCAACGACTACCTCTTCTTCTTCTTCTTCTTCTTCTTCTTCTTCTTCTTCTTATTCTTCTTCTAATGACATGCCAAATGGGAATCGCATTTCACCTATCAAACAGTGTTATATTACACTGCTCAAACAATGTATTCGGGAGAAGATTCGAAAACCTTTTTCGGCGAAACAAGAGGATGATGACCGTGAATTACAAGACCATAGTGTTAGGGGTAGTAATGGAATTACAAGTCGCTGAAATGATCCAGCCGACAGGCGAGATCATATTACCCATGTGTCAAGAGTCTGTGTGCATTCAGCTGAGCCATAGTATGATCTGAAAATGTATACATTCTGCCTGAATCAGTGATGAAATAAACGCTACATTGCCCTTTTTCGATTTTCGCCAATGCACGCAGAATTATTGGGAGTGACGGACGGGCGGTGCATAGAGCTCTGCTCGACAATACAATTGATCGACATTATAAAAATATTAAACGTCTCGCATCAAAGGCCATTCATTAATCCCTTAAACAAAATTAGTAGGTATGTTCTCACCTAAGGTTAGATATTGGAGATAATTTAATCCGGTGCACTCATCAACTGGCATTCATTTGCTATTTTCACATTCCCTACCTCCAACCGGAAAGAAATTACCGCATATGCTTATCATCTAATCGTAAAGTTGGTCAGATTCTAACTAGTACCCAAAGCAAGAAATTGGTCATGCCGCCGTCTGTTCGTAAGCGGCTGGAATATTTACGTTATTAGGATACTGTTATGTTCACTTTTCCTCTATTTTAGATACCCGGCTGCCTCGGCGTGATTCGGGAATACGACAGTTTGTGCAACGAAAACCCAACCGAAACAATACAATCCTTGTAAACGATTTTTCATTCTGATTGCCGATATACTCTCTGTACACTCACTCATGTTTTACACATATTCTGACACGTTAGAAGTCAAGTCGTGGAATCGTACGCTTTCGATTATTCATCATCCGGCCTGTACAGAAATATAAGAGACGGAAAAATAGCACAAGTTTAGGATCCAATAAAGGACAATATGTTGGAACCGGGCTGACATTTGTTTGCATAGTCAATGGCTTCGGATCAGCAATCGGTCCTCCAGCGTTTCTCGATTGTTTTAGATTTTCTAGCTTTAACTTTTCCGTGTTTAATTGGTCTCCGAACTTAAAGCGGTATCTTGTAGTAAATCGTTCTGAATGAAGTTATATTGACCAAATCCATAACTTGATCCTACATTTTGGGCCGAAATCCCTCAGCTTCCATGGGATAACCGTGCAATATTCCTAAACTGCCCGCAAGGAGTCAGCAGCATGTAAAACTTGCGTACTTTAACATACTGACTGCTCAGGTACTGGCTAAAAGCTCAAAAGCTAGTTGCATTGAAATTCTGCCGTTGTATGAGGCAGTTGTGATTAAAATTCTATGGAAAGACAGAAGGAGGTGTTAAATTAATACCCCATGAACCTGTGTAATCTGGTAATATTACTAAGTCGTCCAATCACAGCATAGATTTGTTGACAGGCTTGGACACTCGATGTATGCGCGCGAGAGAACGGGATAGTGCGCTCGACTCTCAGCGCATATTACTCACTATAAACTATCTGACGCGCTCGAAATTACCAGATTGCGCTGAATGCCGTGGCGTGGAGTGCTGCCATCTGGCAGGATAACTCAGTCCTCATCTCACGACGGAGACTTAGACTGCCGCGGCTTCTTCCTCATGTGACCGTTGTGGTACTCCCACGTAGTTGTGACCCGAGTATCCTCCCTTTCTTTTTGTATAAAATGCTGGTTCTTTGTGCGTGGAACAAGGCTGTGGCACGCCAAGGTGCAGGTTCACGCCGCGCCAGCGATCAGCGACCGATCCCGCTTCCGGTCTTCTTGCCCATGTTCTGACACCGGGATCAGGTGGATGGTGAGGAGGAGGGGGAGGAGGTGCGGCGGACACAACGCAAGTTTAGTACCAGTACAAACTAATTCACATGCGAGTTGCTGTCCCTTAGCCCAGCTTACTGTGGGACACAGGATGGATGCCGCTGGCAATGACGATCAAACTGTCATTGCCAAGCCGACTGGATTGCGACCACTAGAGTCACTTAGTTTTCGTGTTCTGGATGAAACCACCTGTCGCCTAGGCAAAGGTTCATGCCGCGCTAGCCACAAGCGACCGAGCCCGCTTCCGGTCTTCTTGCCCTTGTTCTGACACCAGGGTCACGTGGACAATCGTACTGTCATCACTAAGCCGGCTGGATTGTGACCATTTGAGGAGCTCATTTATGGTGTTCTGGATGGAGCCACTCGTCTTATAATTCGGATATGTATGCACCCAGTGACTCCCTGCACAGTTGTCTGTGCATATCGCATGGCTACAGGTAGTACTGCTGTGATGTCTCAGTCCAGTTTGATCGGCTTTCGTGAGGAGATAAAAACTTTCGCTGGCATTTTGACCGACAAAAGCCCACTTAAACCGGCTTATCTGGATCAGTCTTCTAATCTCTCAAGCATAGCTGATCAAAGTTGTTAGGCAACGACAGGTGGTCAGCGGGTCATGCATTGCAATCCGACCCGTGTACATACGTCAAAGTCGACTGTGTGTTGTGTTGATTTTCTCGCACCTCTATGTAATGAGCTTGTAGCAGCCGCTCCAGTCCTCCTTTGCTCCCGGCTCCGTTTTGTCGAACAATGGCCGCGACATCTGTTG